CTCCTCTTATAACTGTAAGAAGAGACCCGTTAAAGATCTTCTGCTATATAAATACTATTAAAAGAACTGGAATAACAATATTTACTCCAATGATATCTGAACAAACAAATTTATTCTTTGATGATGAGAATTTAACAAATGAATTCTCTCCAATATCTTTTGAAATGCAAATTTATAAATTCATACCACAAATTCATAAGCATTCTCTTTCTAATTCTCTTTATCAAAAAGAAAATCCACTTGTATAGTGGAATAATAATATAAAAACTTTTCCACATCATATTAAACAAGCATGAAAATATCTTTCTATTTCTGCTACATCTGTTCCTTCTGAAAGACTTTTTTCAGATGCAGGAAACATAATAACTGAAAAATGAAATTGTCTTTCTTCTGATATTGTTCATGATATTTTGTTTTAAAACATAATAGTAAGTTTTTCAATGTTTATCCAGTACTTGAATTATAAGAAACATTAAGCAATTTATCTTTTTTTAATAAATTACATATAATTTTAATATTTTCTTTTTTTGGAAATTATACTAAACTGGCCTGACTGACCTGGCTGATAAAATTATAACAACCAGACTGGTCAATAAAAATATGATAGCCCACATCACTAATACTAACTTTTTTTGAGATACTAAAAAGAAATAATAAGACGAGTTAAAAGGAGAGTATAGCGGTAATGTTTAAAGCTGACTAGGATGCGCTGGCGCAGAGTTGATTTACTGAGTCAGCCAACCTGACTTTTTTTGATATGGCACATTAATTTTTCTAAATTTGATATATAATATATATATATATAATACGTACATGTTTTATGTAATACTATGATTGATGTAAGCATATAAATAAGGAAATTCACATAACTATTGACTCAGCCAGCTAGTCGATGTAAAAAATTCCAACCCAATCGCGCCAGTATTTTGTTGCCAGCTTGAAACACTATATAGCAGTGTTGTTAAAAGCTTTAGTCATGTTTTTACTATAACATTACCTATACACAATTAAAATTTTTATTTTCACTATGTCAAGATTAATAGTAGAAATCGAATTCTTTTTGTTAGAAGCTCCTTTAGAATCTATTTGTAGTGAATCCATTTTTTACCTAATCATGAATGGAGATGAAGTAGCAGATTATAATACTATTAGAAATTTAACAAAACGTGCAGTATGATCTGTGTCACAAAAAATAGAAAATAAGGAGAGAAAAGAAAAAGTAGTGAATATATTGATAGAAGTAAGTAATATACTATTATACTTCAGTATTAATGATGAAATACAGCAAATGTAAATGCAATTCTTTTAGCTGGTCATAGCTAGTGTTCGAGAAATGCTGGCCCAAAAGAGTGAAATTGTCAAGATTCTTTCTTTATGATATCGAGGGTTTCTGCTCCCCCTTGACCGTGCGTGGCCATTCTAGCTAAAAGAATAGAAATACATTTTTAAATGTATCTGATTACCAAATATTATAACTATTTTATAATTGCAAAACAATAAAATCCCTGGAGTATCTTTAGTATAATACGAACTAATTTTCGTGATCACATTTTTAAATTTATTACATTTGCTGTAGATGGAAAGCAGTTACAATACTATTATCAGATTAAAGGTATTGAAGGCTTTGAATATAAATCAAGAATCATCTTCAGATTATACTCAAGAAGATATTGCACAAAATATTAGAACATTGAAAATAAAACTCAGTTCACCTATGACTGATATGAATGTAAATATTTATGGGACTCTTAAAAAAAATATTGATGAAAATTTAGATATCTCTGAACTCACTTGGAAAAATCCAATCACAAGTATGGTTCTTAGTGATGAGCTGAATATAGTTAAAAATCTAAATCAAAGACAAAGATGTATTTTTATGATAAAGATAGAAATATAATCTAGTTGCTTTATAACAATATATACCACGGTATCCTTTTCTTATGTTATCTTGAGTGACCTTCACTGAAATAACAATAATTTCTATTATTATCTAGGAATCTCGAGAGAATATGAAGTGTGGAGTTCCTCGCTTAATTTCTTCTAGGGTTGACGAGTTTATAGAAAACTTTAACGAAATAGATAATTTTGACCATATTAGAAATATTATGCATAATAAAACATGGAAAGAGGATGAGTTTGAATTATTAAAAATGGTGGAACGAATACTTGGTGTATTATAAGTAACTAGATATTTACCAATCTCTGTGACTTTACTAATTTATATTTGTAAATTTAGAGGGGATATATGGTCTAATCCAGCTTTTATTACAAATATAATCCGTACATCAGGAAATTTTTATATCTAATTATAATTGATTATTATCCAATAATCAATTATTATCGATTATTAATAATTGATTATAATCAATTGCAATCAGATATAATCGATGATTATTAAAATCGAATATAACTGATTTTTTGTTTAGAATTGGTGAACATCTATAATCGATGATCATTGATTTTAAATAATCGATTGTAATCGATTATAAATGATTACAATCGATTGTAATCACTGCAAATTGATAGACAATGGGTAATCATTTACAATTAATAATCGATTCTCATCGATAATTAATAATTGATGATAAATAATTATTTATTATAATTGATTACCCATTGTCTATCGATTTGCAGCGATTACAATCGATTGTAATCATTTACAATTGATTACAATCGATTACAATTGATTACAATCGATTGTAAATGATTACCCTGCCAATTAATTTATCTTCCACAAGCACATGTACAATATTAAGAAGCTTTTAAAATTTAATTCTTGGTATCAATTCAATAGATATTTCAA